TAGACCATATGTTCCATCCAAATTACATCAGTGTCTCAGTCTATTTGTCTCTACCCCCATCCTCCTGCCATCTCTCCATTTATTTTTATGTTTCTCAGGGACTGCCACACATACTTCACACTTTATTCCTCTTTCTTTTCCTTTCTCCTTTTCATCATCCCTTGGGCTTCCCTTGGCCCCAGATATTGTGGCTTCTGTCTACCTTAGAGCTTCAAACCTCTGCTACCTTGCTACTGTCACATGCCATGTGGAATGCTGTCTACATCATGGCAGAACTCTGTGGGTGGGTCTTAGCTTGATTCTTGATTTAATATGTTGAAATGGAAAGAAAAAAGAATTTAAAACATCCTCTCAGGAAAATGGCTTGACTTGTAAGCAAAGATCTGTTATGAATGTCAAAGACTGCATTTTAACTTTTTCTCTTTGTATTCTTTCTGTAATATTCAAATTTCTCTTCAGATGATGTCCTGGGCCCACTAGGAAGAATCTTGTGTATTTGAAAAGGCAAAATAAAAAAGCAAGTTGATATTTTCAAAATATTACCTCTATTACATATAACAACTCATTCAACAGATGCCTGTGAATATTGATTACATTATCAGTATTCACTGAGGTTTAGTGTGGATTTATAATATGGGCTCTTCTCATTCAGACACACGTTGATATTTCTGGTATTCAGGTCTTTCTTCGTGGCCCTCAACAAAATGTCTTTTCTGTACCCTGCCCCCCCCTCCCCCATTAGTATTCTTGTTAAATTTATTCCTAGAACCAAATTTCACAGATCATCAGCTGGGCTTACCTACAGTTATTCGACCTGTAAGTGTTGCCCTGTCTTGTTTGTTACCCAGGCTATGAGCTTCTGTTTTAGACTGTGTTATCTATAATTGTTGCCAATATCACTGATGTTTTTATTACATTATGTTTTTTAATTAGTTATCACCATTAAGTAGGAAAGTTATTGCTTTTTGTATTTTTATTTTTAGTGATCTTTACTAAACTCATATTAGTGTGAATAGTTTTCCAACATATTCTTTTACGTTTTCTAGATATGAAATTACATAATCCAATCTTTCTACTTTTTATTTTATGCTCTCATTTAATTATACAAAGCTAAATAAAAATGGTGAGAGTAGGCATTCTTGTTTGTTTCTGATTTTAATGGGAACACCTGTGTTTTTTCCCATTAATCATGATGTTAGCTACTGGTTTGAGATAGTTTTCTTTTTAATCATGTTAGGAGAGTATCCTTCTAATAGTACATTTCTATTTTTTTTGTTCATTTATAATACTGATCAAGAATGCATAGTGAGTTTTATCAAATGCCTTTTTGCCATCTGTCGAAATGATTATTTGGTTTTACTTTTTCACCTATTTATATAATTAATTACAACAATAGATTTCTAAAACCATCAAACCACCCTCATGTTCCTAGAATAAGTTTTACTTGTTTATAGAATATTAGTCTCTCAATAGTTTATATATATGTTATTTATTTTTCAGAATTTTGAGATTTGTCTGTTGGAGTGTTCTAGAGTTAGAGTGTTAGAGTTCTGATTTGAGTGTTTTTGTGTATGGTTGTCAGTTTGGTATCAGGGTTATGCTAATTTTATAAAGTATTTTAAAGTAAAAGAAGATTTATTTCTTTTTTAAAGCAGTTTAAACAGCTCCTGTTGTTAGTAAGATTCTTTTCTTTTTTCTTTTTTCTTTTTTTTCTGTTTTTAATAGACTCTCTTTTAGTACAGTTTTTGGTTCACAGCAAAATTGAGGGGAAAGTACAGAGATTTCCCATATCCTTCCTGCCCTGACACACAAACAGCGACTACCAACATCTGGCACCACCGTGGTACCTTTGTTACAGTCGATGTACCTACACAGACACATCATAGTTACCCAAAGTCCATAGTTTACATTAAGCTTGACTCTTGGTGTTGCACATTCTAAGGGTTTTCGCAAATGTGTAATAATATGTATCCACCATTATAACATCCTACAGAATAGTTTCACTGCCCTAAAAATCTCCCATGTGCTGCTTCTTCATTCCTCTCTCCTTGCTAGCTCCTGGCAATCATTGATCCTTTTAGTGTCTCCATAGTTTTGCCTTTTCTAGAATGTCATATAGTTGGAATCATACAGTATGTCACCTTTTCAGATTGGCTTTTGTCACTTAGCAATATGCATTTAAGATTCTTTCATGTCTTTTCATGACTTGAGAGCTCATTTCTTTTTAGTGCTACATAATATTCCGTTGTCTGGATGTACCTCATTTTTTAATTTATTCATTCACCTACCAAAGGACATCTTGATTGCTTCTGAGTTTTGGCAATTACGAATTAAAATGTATAAAGGAAAACACTTTACTTTATACATTTTTTTTCATATAACATTTTTAATGTTAAAATTTCACTTGAATATACCTAGAGGGTCTGGCCTGTTCTCTTCAAATAGTTTGCCTAGTGCTCAGTGCACCTTTGATCTAAAGACTTAATTATTCAGGCCAGGAAATTTTCTATATTTCTTTAATAATTGTTTCTCCATGAGCTTGGATCTCTATTTCTGGAATGTCTATTACACAAGTATATTTGATTTCTTGAGCATTTCCTCTCTCTCTTTCTCTCTCAACTTCTTTATTATTTTTTTTTCAGGGTTATGGGGAGGGTTCTCAAAACAGTCTTTCCGGATTTGGTTTTTAGTCTAAATTTCCTGTTTTGCATATTTTCCAAAATTCATATATGAATTAACCTTTTGAAGATTATTTAAAATATGAATTTGAGGATTTTACTATTTCTCAGTTTTTTTTTTTTTTTAGATTCTAGTAACCCTGGATATAATAAGGATATAATGTTTTATATCTTTTCTCACATGTCTAATAATTTTGCTCTATTTGCTCACTTTATAGAGGGACCTAGATCTACGTTTGCTTGGGACCGGAATTTGAAATGGTTCTGGAAAAGATTATGTAGATAATTTTCAAGCAGGTTGGTTCCTGGCAATGGAGAAAGAAAAATAACTAACCTGATTGTTTATGGTTTAGTTTTTTAGACTGGGAGGTCCAGTTGACCTTAATTAGGGCAGAGAGAGCTCCTGGGAAGAGGAGAGACGTTTTCTGCTGTGCTGGACAACTTCTTTTCAGTATTTGCAGAGGCAGCCCAGGGTTAGCTGGGGGAATGTCTCCCTTCTCTAACTGGCATCAGAGCCCAAGTTAGGAACTGCTGGCCAGTGTCCCTGCTTTTCTGTGCAAACCACAAGATGAGTTGAGCCTTGGCCAGCTACTCTATGAGAAGACACTTGTACAGTTCTCAAGTCACTCAGCTTGTTTCCTATTTGTGCCCACCTCATCCTTATTTCTAATTCTGGCCGTCTATCATAGGGATTAGGGAGACCAACCCTCTATCACCTCCCAGGGCTGACCTTCCTTAGTCAATACATTGATCAATCTGTAATTTGGAACAGAAAGGAGTTAACTGCATGGGTTCAAATTATGATGTATAAACAAAAATCAGGGTGCAGTAACTTTTGACAAGTCAGAATACGAAACTGATTTATTTACAGCGTGACCACTAGGTGGTGCTACCAATTAGTTAAAAACTGTGATTGCTGTAGGGGGACAACTAAGAACCACTTGCAGCCAGTACAAACACGAGTTTGTGAGACTATGAAACTTGTAGGCACTTGTGCATATGTGCACGAGTGTGTGAGCACATAAAATTCATGATGCATGAGTTTGCCCACAGAGCAATTTCGGTTTACAATTGTACACACATGTAAGTACGTGCATATAGCTGTGTACTCTGGAAAATATGGGCGTGAAGCTAAATGATGTGAACTCCAAAAGCTGATCCATCAGCCATGTAGTCAGGAACCCTTGTCCCTCAGCTAGGAAGGTTGTTTGTGGAATGTGCAGAAGACCCACCCCTGTGGGAGAAACAATGATAGCACCACAGGGCAGCTTTTCTGAGGAAGGGGCTCCCTAGACACAGCCATGGGTTCCTCTAAAGTCATCAGTCCTGCAAGACTTGTGCCCGGTCAGGCCTCTGAGAGGTTCTCAATCACTTCTGAAGTTGCAACACCTTTCCTGAATATTCAAAGCATTTAATAAAATGTCCACCTTGGGACCCTATCTTCTGTCCAGGTGGGGAGTGACCCTATACGCATGAAAATAAATGTGTATGTGTGTGAGGGGTCGGGGGATCCTCTCCTAATCCCTACTCCTTCAGAGTCATCCACACTCACACATCCTCCTCTCTTGTCTCCGATGAACGTCCCTAGCTGATCTCAGATGCTCACTCTGGATACCCTCTCACTCCAGAAATAGTGCTGTTTTGATTGCTTGCTAGAAGAGGGGGCCACCAAGCTGGGGATACTTGGGCAAGTCCCTTCCCTTCTCTGGCCACAATATCTCAATGAGGGCTGGGTCCGGGTGATTCTGAGAGGCCTTTGGTATTGACTCAAGCCCTACAAGTCTGCAGGTCGCAGGGCCCTGCCCCTTCCAGTGGTTGGTGTGGCGTGGGAGTCTGTCTTCTTGGAGAAACTCAGAAGGAGAAAGTCCCTCCCCTCCTTCTAGCACACTTTCCTCCTTAACAGGCCCCTAGGGAAGGTAGCTCTCCGGGAGCAGGCAGGAGGAAGTTCTCACTCTAGCATCATTAAAAGTTCAAGTGACTTCTCCTAGGGAGGCAAAATTCCCAAGATTCATTAGACTTGCTACCCTCTGAGCCCAATTTGGTTGAAGGAATGTTTGGCCTTTTTATCCAGAGCAGGTTTTCGCTAAGGATTTGAGGTCTCCCTGAGAGAGCTCATCTCTCATCAAAGTAAAAAAAGAGAAGGTCCCTGGAGGCCGCCTCTTGCCCTGGCACTTTTCCAGAGGAGGAGACAGGCTTGGTCAGGGGAGGGGCTTGCCCGAGGCCACGTGGAGCCAACTTTGCCAGCTGCTGGAACATTCCTCCAGGTGGCAGGGAAATGAGCACACACACAGGAAGGAGAGAAGAGGAAGCAGGTGGGGTGGTGGGGGGAGAGGGTACTCAAACAGGAGGGCTCCTGGGGATCAGTGGTCTCGGGGATGCAGGTGCAGAGCCACAGCTTTGGGGAGGCCTTGTGTGAGGAAGAGCTTTGAGAACAACCTGAGAAGCCCACAGCAGAAAGGGCTGCCCAGGAAGATAGTGGGTGCCCATCTGGGAGGTTCTGAGCCAAAAGGACAAGTGCTCTTCTAGGATGAACAGAGGGGATTTGGGACTAGGAGGTGGGGAGGAGTCTAGGACTGCTCAGGTCCTACCTGTTATGTAAATTCTCCACCAGGCAGGAATAGCAGGTGTTGGGCAGGGAGAGTGGGATGGAGCAAGGAGCCTGCCCTTTATGGCCAATCGAGATTGTTGAACTGGGAACCAGGAGGTTGAGACTGGGGCCTGGTCTCTCCTGCCTCCTTCAGCCATGGGCTAATACCTAGACTCTCTTGGCTCCCAGACCCAACAGGACCTAGGACCTAGGGACAGTTGTGCAGCCTCCCTGGATGATAAAAATCTGCCATAGGTGCCTCATAGAGCTTCTGAAGTGTGTGACAATTTGTTTGAGATAACCTAACTCAGTTGACTCAGTCCCGGAGGAATTTGTGGCCTGAAGGACAGGGAGCCACAGACTCTCAGATGAAAAGTTCTCCCGAGTCGTCTAGTCCAAACTTCACTGCAATAGTACTGATGGCAAACATGTGTCAGGAACTGGTTTAAGTGCTTTATAAATCTTAACTCCTTGAATCCTCAGAAAACCCTATGAGAGAATATATTCTCCTTACTAGCCATTTTACAGATGCGAAAACGGGCACGGAGAGGTTATGTAATTTGTGCACAGTCACAGAGCTAGTGAGTCCTGTGCTTCCAGAACCCACATTCTTAATCTCTGTGCTGTACTGTCTCTAAAAGAGGAGGGAGCTGAGGCCCAGGGAGGGGAAAGGGCTGGCCTGGTCACTTGGCCAGGTAGCAGGCATCAGGGCCTAGATCTCTTATTGCCAAACTTAGTCCCTTGCTGACAGTCCTCTGTTCCCACCCAGCCTCCCCTTGGGCCTCCCCAGAGTTAACAGTCACTGGGCCTCACCCATGGACAGCAGCTCCAGCCCAAAGAGGCTGTGTCCACATTCTCTGGCTGTTTTCCAGTCTGCAGGAGCAGAGAAAACAAAGTCCAGTGACTGTGAGGGCTGAGCAGAGGCCGCTGAAGGGGAGGAAGCAGCAGGAGCACCGAGCGGAGGGGACTGTCCGGCTCCTAGATGCTAGGCCTCCTGGGGAGCACGACTCTCGTGGGCTTGATCACAGGCACTGCTGTGGCTCTTCTGCTGCTGTTGCTGCTGCTGGCCACCTGCCTGCATGGTGGACGGCAAGACTATGATGTGGAGAGGAATCATCCAGCTGTAAGGAGAAATCGAGTCCGGCGGATCCAGCCTTGGCTCTTCCCAGGCCGGGGCCACCTGGGACACTTGCACCGTCCCCATCATCCTGGCCATGTGCCTCACGTGCACCATGTGGGCCTCCAGCACCACCACCGCCACCACCAGGCCCACCACCAGGCCCACCACCAGGCCCACCATCACACCCACCGTGGTCACCGCTGATGCCTGTGGATGGCAGCTTCTGCCCACCTACCATCTCCAGATGAGTGGACTCTCATGTTCCTGCGCAGAAGGGCACCTCTCTGTGGTGAACACTGGTACTGTGCCTAGGTCCTGCTGGGGCTTCATTTGCATGTGGTGCCTTAGTGAACCACAGAGAAAGAGGAAAGCGGAACACCTGGGGTGGCCCTGTGCACACTGGAGGGTGAGAAGGGTGAGAGCGGGGGTGGTCCTTTGGGGATGGACACCACCTTGTGACTGTAACTCCCAGCTGAAGTACACCAATGCATGCTGGTGCATAAAGATGGCCCACGCTCTCTCTGGACGGCTTTTCTCTGACTTCCTCAGGCTTCTGGCTGAGGGTAGCTGGGAGGGACCCTGGCAATGCCCTTTCATTTGGAGAAGGCAGTATGAGGCTGCACAGTCACTGGTGCCTTAATATAAGAAAATAAAAACCACTAAGAAGCTTTTGTGGAGAGGCTCTTGATTGCAACTCAAGTGGGAGGGAGGGAGCGAGTGGCCAGGCCGGTGTCAGTGGCCAGGCCAGGCCAGGCCAGGCCAGGCCAGGCCAGGCGGGTGTCTGCGTTGCCCTGGGACTGCCCTCTCTAACAGGAAGTGAGTTTTAAAGTGGTGGCTTCTGCCTGGGGCTTGAAGGCTGGCTGTGCAGTGTGTGTGGGTGGGGTGGGGTGGAGTGGGGGGCATAGCTGGTTGGGCTCTCAGTGCTCCATGAACAGAAGGTGATAAGGGCATGGGACCTGAGCTCTGAGGGAGGAATTAGGGTGCAGCCTTGTCCACAGAGGGCTCTCTGGGTACCAGTGGGGTTCTGGGCTTCTGTGAGACAGTCCAGGGCCTGAGAGAGAAGAGGGATGAAGTTGCCCAGGCTGGCCCCCAGGGCTCTACCTCTGTGCTCTTTCCAGCCCATCTCCAGGGCAGACTGAGCTCTGGGACCTGCAGAAGCCCCAGTCCGTGGGCTGTGTTGAATTCATTATTTCCTTGGTAACTGGGTCAGAGTTTCTCATCCAAGCCTTGAGTCTCCAGCAAGCCCGCCCCCACTGGTGCCTGTGTGTGACACTAGGGTTGGGAGGGCGGGGAGGATTCTTTAAACTGGGGGATGGTGCTTGCTTGGTGGCCTTGGAGGTTGCTTTCCTCTTCCTGGGGTCTTAGTTCCTCTTCCTTAAAACAAGAGAGATAAGAGATTCCTTCCCTCCAAAGCCCTGAGGCATGTTCCAAATACCCCAGGAACAGCCGGAGGAATTCCACAGGGAGGAAGGAGACCTCTTCTGAGGCCTGCAGCCTGTGTCTGTGAGTTGGGGTGGGAGTTGAAGGGAGGAGAGGCTTGGGGGCTGGGTGAGGAGGTAGGGAGGGGCTTGAGAAAAGGTCAGAAAGTCGGGAGCCTGCTGACTCACTGGAACAGAATGTCCTGTTTCTTTTCTATTTCCTGATGTGAGTACTTGGGTTGGGGCAGGAGGAGCTATGAGGGGAAGTGGGGGGCCAATTCACACTGACAGCCACACTAGATTTCTGAGTTGGGAAAGTGGACTATAAGTCACCATGTATTGTTGATGTTATCTTTGCAGTGTCCTTCAAATCCTCCTCCCTTCCTCAGTGCCCTAGGTCCACCCTAGCTCATCCCCCAGCCTGGATTCCCGGCACAGCCCCTCTGACTCTGCCCAGCCCCAGCCCTGCCCCTTTCTGAAGCATCTCCATGCTGTGGCCTGAGGGATCTGCCGAAGGCCTCATTACCCTTGGGATGAAGTCTCTGCCTCTTGGTTGACCATTCAAGGCCCCTGGTCTCTTTCAGCCTCCCCGCTTGCTCTTTTGTTCCATTTGCATTGCTTCAGTCATCAACCCCAGAAAACCCTCGCTGTGTCTCTGTCTAAGAAGAATTTGTTGCTCCCTCCTATGGATTTCCAATTTATTATTTATTATTAATTAAATAATACACTTATTATCATTATCATCATCATTATTATTGTATTTCTTTTGGAGCACTGACCACACTTTCTCTCTTTCCTCAGAGATTTATGGCAGGATTCAAGGGCCCTGCTCTCATAGATCTGAGAAAACTTTGAGGGCTCCCTGCCTCCCAGTACAGAACCAGCCTGCACAACAGATGCTCAGGAAGGATTCTTAAAGACTCATGCTCTCTAGAAAGTAAATGTGATCAAAATAATCACCACCCTCAGGGACGCTATGTAGAGCAGTAAGGTCCTGTGGGATTAGGCCTTTGGGCTCTGGGGGCCTCTGAGGTGTGCTCCTACTCTATCTCCACATTGTTTGGGGAAAGGGGTGGGGGGTGATCTGAGAAGCAGGAAACATTTAACAAGTGGAGGTCTGTAGCCTGCTGGCCTTGACCTCCCCTCCCTCTGTCTCTCTGCAGAGCCCCATGTCCTTCTTGGACTACGGCCAGTCTCCCTAAGTGTGGCTTCAAGCCTCTGGGAGAACTGGCATCCTCTTTGTTTGAGGACGGCTGCCATCACCTTTTCCCTTGTTTATAGGAGTGGAATGTATGGAATGTGGCCTTTTTTCAGACTAGTTGACGAGAATGACGGGTGCTGGAAAGATATATACTATGATAGGTATCTTTAGGCGCCCTATTGCATTTGAGGCTCGTGGGCAGGGGCTGTATATCACAGGATTACAAAAGTCACAAGAGGAAGAAAAGATAACTGGAAAAAATGCTCAGGACAAACATCTCTGAATTGTGGGCAAAGGTTGGTGGCTGTCTCGCTCTTCTCAACTCTCCCAATAATGTTGATAAATGGAAAGGGGCTGTTGGGGGACGGTTGGGGGCGAGTGTTCTGAGCCAAGGGGGACTGTGGAAAAGGCATCTAACCTTTGTCCACTTTTATCCATGGTTACTCTTTTTGCCTGAGGCTTGAGATGCCGTGTTGGTCATTCTATGTTGCAGACCACCAGTGTGGCATCCATGAAGATCTCTAAGAGCCTTTAAAGCAGACTGTGCCTGTCTTCACAATATAACTCAGGTCCCTCTCATTATGCCACATGGCCTCCATTCAAATACTGTATGCCTATTATGAGAATGGACCAGAAGGCCTATTTCTCAATGAATCAAAGAAGGGTCCCCAAATCTCAGAAACAGAAAAGGAAGCCTATACGAAGCAGAAGATAAGAGCGTTGAGCCATTGTTCTTTATTCCAGTTTTAAAAAACTGAACAATGCATGTCTACCACATGCCTCCAACTCCATTCATTCACAAAGAACAGGCAAATGAGCAGTCAAAGGAATAAATAACCCAGCTTGAAACCTAGTTCCCCTAATGCTCTCTATTTCCTGAATTGACTAGTTGATCTTTGTAATTCAGTCTGAAGCCACAGATTGGCTTCTCACATTTCCTTATCTCTGCTTCTGCTTGCCCCAGTTAACACGAAGAATTTTAAGTGTCCAACTTCCTGTAAAGGCCCCAGCTTGCTCCATGCCCCTCCACTGCCCTGTCAGAGGAGGAGCCCCATGCCCAGGCTGTCCAACCATCTTAGAAAAGGGAAGAGTGAGAATCTGACCCAATCCTCACCACTCTCCCATTCTGTGCGTAAGCAGTTCCCTAAAGCTAGTACTAAAGGAAGTTTACTGGGGCCTTGGAGAAATTGAAAAGGACCCAGGCTGGGCGACCTTGGGCTAGCCCTTGTCCCTCTCTGGGCCTTCGCACTGTGATCGGTAAAACTGCAGAACGAGGCGACTGCTCTGTGGTCCCGTGGTACCTGGAACGAGTTGAATTAGAAGGAAAGGCCGGGAAGCCCCTCTTGGGCTGTTTCGTGCTCTTGTTATCATTACAAATTAGCAGTAGGCACAGGCAGGTCATGTAACTTCTGACTACTAGCATCTGAATCTGTAAAACAGAGACAATATCGCTTCACAGGGTTGCTGGATCGATTACGTGAGATAATGCCTGGCTGTGTCCCGTACCTAGAATTATGGTTTTTCACTACTCCATTTCTTAGAGTTTGGATAAAGTGAGGCTAATAACCCAGTTTCCTTTCTGGAAGTGGTGGTGGTCTTAGGAGGTGTTGACTGTGAAAGGGCTGTGACGGAGTGAGTGTCAGGATGGAGCCCCTTCTGACAGACTTACTCAGTGGTCTGGGCCTGGCTCACCCCGCCCCCCAGTTAAGTGGAGAACCTGGTAGGGGGCAGGGCTGGAATGGCCTGGGTGTTCGCGCAGGGTGCGGGTGCGGTAAGTGCAGTCATCGAGGGCAGCAGGCAGCTGTGCAGGTCCTGGGCCCTCACTCACAATTGGTGGAAGGAATTCAGGAAGTGCTCACAGCTACTCAGACATCTTGGAGCCTAGTCCCAGGCAGGAGCAAGCCTGCAGCACCCAGGGATGGGTATGTCGTGACCTGGCTCCTGGGGAGGCCACCAGGTCAGGAGGCCACAGCACCACAAACAGCCAGAGCTACCACCGGAAGGGAGCCCAGGGTAAGTCTTCACAGCACTTGAGTGTGAGCAGCGGGCATGAGCAGGCAGCAAGGAGGGCTGGGTGGAGACTGGAGCAGAAGGGGGCCTCTCCGGGAGCTGCAGTTCAAGGGAACCCCACAGTATGTCATCGAAGGAGCTCAGCTGTCCTGGCCTTATCTAAACAGTACTCTTCCAACCCCATGAAGAAAAGGAGGCTAAATGAAACAGGCCCTTCCCCACAGCCCCTGCAGAAGGCCCTGTGGCACTTGCCGTAAACCTGCCGTGCTCCCGCTACCTTGCCCGGAGCTGGCATTACCTTTCTTCGCACCTGTGTCCTTGCCCCCGGCACAGGGCCAGGGTCTCGGGAGGCAGCATAGGCTTACTCAAGGACTGCCCAAGGTTCCTCCAGGGGAGGAGCCCAGGCCCATCCTGGATCCACAATGGGGAGTATTTTGTCTTCTGTCTGAGCAAACAAATTCTCTTGAAATCCGTAGGCGTCACCAGAGGGCCGGGTTGGCAAGGCTCCCTGCGAGCAGAGTCTTCTGCCCCCTCCTTCCAGCTCCTCCGAGTCCAGCGAGTCTTGAGCTCACGTCTTTCAGGACAGCATTTCTTCTAGAGGCTGTCCCTGGAGTTGACCACAGCTCTTGGAAGATTGGCCAGACGTAGGAAACAGTGACAGAGACCAACTGAAATTTGAGTGGGGCCATGTGGGGTGCCCAGTGGTCTAGAGGGGACACAACCCGGGACCTCAGACCGGTACCTTCTTAGAAGACCACAGGGCGAGCGGCTGGAAGAGCAGGGTACTTGTCAAAACCAAGAGCCACCCTCCTCCCTGTCTCGGAAGGGGAGCTAAGGCTCCAAGACTTACCTCAGGTTGCTCAGTGGGTCAGCCGCCACGTGGGGCCATGGAAACGGCAGTGATTGGCATGGTGGCAGTGCTGTTTGTGGTCACTGTGGCCATCACCTGTGTCCTCTGCTGCTTCAGCTGTGACTCAAGGGCCCAGGATCCTCAGGAGGGCCCTGGCCGCAGCTTCACAGTGGCCACGTTTCGCCGGGAGGCTTGTCTCTTCACTGGGCCAGGTCGCCATGTCCAGCCAGTGGCGGGTGCCCGGGACTTCTGGACCTTCATGTGAAGTCTAACAACCTCCAGGATTTTCTCGGCTGGTGGGTCAAACTCACCCGCCCCCCAGCAAGCCTTCCCTGATGTTCCACTCCTCCAAGTCGGGCATTTCTGTCCTTCCCTGTCTGTATTCAGCAAACTCCCTGTTCCATCCTATCTTGGGTTGCTGTGCCCTCTGGCCTGGGAGATTTACAGTGGTGGGACCAGGTGGGAGTCAACCCTGACCCCTGAGAGCTCAGCTGGACCCTACCCACAGGACTGGGCTTAGGAGAATTCCAAAGCGTTGAATGACCAAACAGTGTTGTATTGCACGGTGGGCAATACAACATCTACAGGGGGACTGGAATTTATTGTAAACAGAATCTAGTTAACCCAGGATGCCTACGAAACTGGTTCTATTGCCACCAGAGGAAGTAGCACCCTCAAGTGGACATTTTTACAAAACGCTTCTTATCTGCTCCCTTAATTGAGTCTTTTTGGTACTTTACGTATGCGTATCCCACGGAGACCAACCCTGAGGCCTGCCCCTACCAGTTGTCTGAAATCAGCCCTGAAATTCTGAAACCAAAGAGCTGCTTTGTTGATTTATTTTATAATTGAAAATGTATATCCTTTTATGGATCTTCCAAGAATCAGGGTTGGAAAAACCACAAAAGGAAAGAGAAGAAAAAATAAGAGTCACAGAAAGTATGAGATATTTTATTAACAAGAAAGCCAGAAAGAAGACTTCGAAGCATATTTTAAATGAGACTTCATTACTCTATTCTTATAGGTCACTTCTATTCTTAGAGAATGTGAGTGACTTGCGTCACACAGGAATGACAAAAAATCATGAACTCAAAGACAATTCCAAATAAGTTAAAATGTTGTGTTACATTGAGAGCATGTACCAAAGCTCTTGTTTTCATCATAAATAGAGGATCAGTTTTTACTAACAGAAAATCTGTTTTCTCTGTACCTACAAAATAAATGCTGTGCTGTATTTAGAGTATAGTTTGAAGGGTGCAAAATTTTGAGTCTCCTGGCTCCTGTGAGTGCATGCAGCCCTAAATGGATGGCTTTCTCAGAATCTGCCTGTTGAGGAGGGCAGGACTGACCCTGACGGGGGTTTCTGGCCTTTTAGGAGGCCTAGACAGGTCATCCTGGCCACGTGGCTGCAGAGAGAGGCTTGGGGCTGCAGAGGTGCAGAGGGGTAAGGGGCTAGGGAGACAGGCTGATGGAGAGGGATGGAGTGGGTGAGCATGGGGAGGGGAGAGGGGCAGCCCAGGGATGGGGAAGCTCCTGAGGACCATATCTTGGTCACTTTGGACCCTCGAGCCCCTAAGCAGGGCCTGCATAAATGCACATGGATGGGAACTGGCTGCTGGAAAAACCTGGCAACTGACTAAAAGGAATTGTTTGTTGCAAGTCGTGTTCTCTGAAGGTGAACACTGAGACAGAGTTTGGGACACAAGGCATTTATAGGGATCGATGTCCGTGAGGGGAAGGAAAGGGAATAGGACTGGATAGAGGAAGAAGTCAACTGTGGCTCAGGCCCTTAATGTCCCCCCAGCTCCACTTGGTCTCTGCGTGCTGCCTCCCTGCCCCCACCCCAGGGTTCGCCCTCAGCCAAAGCAGCACTGTGGATGCAGATAGCTCTGAGGTCCCTCCTTGAAGGGGCCCTGAATGGTGCATCACCACAGGAACTCACCTGGGGCCTGTCTCGGAGGCACCCAGGTCAATCAGACTGGGCGAGCGTGTCCAGGCACAAAGAAATACCTGGGCAAGGGAGCTCCAGGTGGGCAGAGACAGCGAGCAAGACCTGGGAGAAGAGAAAAGAGTGCTCCTCAGCTGCTCTCTGCCCTCAGCAGAGTCAGCTCTCCTCCGGGTCAGGCACCCTTCAGCTAGACCCCAGTATCAGGACCCCAGGCCCAGGGCTCTGCCCCTACCCCCCCGCCGCCAGTCACAACCCTCCCTTATCAGTGGAGGGAAGGACCTGAAGGCTGGAATCAAGTGACTGAAAACAAAGCAATGGGTGGCGGAGGGGAACACAGCTTCACTGCAGGGATGGGCAGTCTGTCAAGCCCTGAGGTCTCCGAATCTGCTCACTTGTTCATCCATCCACTCATCTACCCAGCCAGCCAGCCAGCCAGCCACTCCAGTTACTCACTAAGTCTTCCTTCCTCATTGTAGATGAAAGAATGTCCAATCCTATAGAAAAGTTTTAGTTTATTTAAGCCAAAATTTTGAAGACATGCCTGGAAACAAGATCTCAACGGATTGAGAAAATGCTCTGAGATTGGCAGATTTGCAGTTCCTTTTATGCATTTAGAATCAAAAGAAAAAAAAAAAAACAAATCCATTGGTGGTAGATTAAGGAGGCGGGAGAAAGGGCATTTGGATTAAAAGCAAAATGGAGAAACACATCCTTCTTTTACATTGGTGGGTACAGGATAGTTAATAATTAACATTCACAGCACATAATGATTATATGTGAGGAAAAAGATAACAATGAGGGATCCTGTGGTCTCCTGCTCTGGTGCCTGTGATTATCTTTTCAGGGGTCTAGAAAAGAAAATTACTCTGACATTTCAAAGTTATGTTATCTTAGATGCATAAGGACAGTAGACAAGCTCAGTTAAGGTAAAGACTGACCTTTGCGAAGGAAACTATAGGCCTGAAGTGACAACTCACCATGGCCTGCCCACTTAGAAATTTTTATGTTCAGACCACCCTGTGTGGTTACTTTTGGTCACTGAGATTGTCAGTCCTGCTAAGTGGCCCCACTAAGCTCGTCAGATTTATTACATAGCCCTTTGCATTCGCATCACTTACCCATGCATTATATTCAGTCATTCACTCCTCCATTCCATAAACACTGGCAGAGCATCGACTGTATACCAGACCCTGCCCAGGAAATGTGGGAGTCAATCATACACAGTCCCAGCACTCGATGAGCTCTTAGTGTAGTGACCTAGACAAGGCTGCAAATCACACACTCAGGTGCGGGGGGTGGGAGTAGGGTGAGGAGACCCAGGAAAACCTGGGAGGATGTGGCCCTTGAGCTGGACCTGAAGAAAAGAGGGCACTTCAACAAGCAGAATTTGGAGGAGGGTGTTTCAGACAGAGGGAACAGCGTGAGCCGAGACTCAGAGACCTCGTGGGGGCTGGGAGTAAGTGGTCTGCCTTGACCGGGCATGAGGAGATGGGTGGGACAGCAGCCAGCTCCAGAGGGAAGCATTTCTTGCTATATCTGGCCAGCACATTTCCAGGCAACAGACGGTGAAGGCAGCTAAGAGGCGGTCTCATTCGTCGGGCTGGGCATGTAGTCTCTCCAAGCACACACACGCCAGTATCGCAATCAGTGGTTGCTACACGGGAGCTGGAGGGAAGGTCCTTAGAGAGGCTGGGTGAGGCCGGCCTTGTGTGGCGGTGGACCCATGGGTGGGAAGCTGTTGCAGGAGAGCAGGGAGTTTGAGAAGGGAAAGCAGCCAAAGTCCGCACCGTGGGGCAGGCTGACAAAAAGAGGAGTGACTAGAGAAGGGACAGGAAGGAGGGGAGCTGGTGGGGCAGAGAAGCAGGGAGCAGAGTTGCCAGATTTAGCAAATAAAAACACGGGACATGCAGTAATTTTAATTTTAGATAGACAACAATTAATTTTTAGTATAAATATGTCCCCTGTAATATTTGGAACACTCACTAAAACATTAGGTTTTCTATCTGAGATTCAGATTTAACTGGGTGTCCCACATTTTATCTGGCAATCCCGTGAAGGAGAGCGTAGTTCTCAAAGAAGGTAGGTCAACTGGTAAAAAGCATCGGGAGGGCCTGTGAAGTGAGAATGGAGAAGAGACCTTGGATATTGCAACATGACAGTTGACAATGACCTTGGCGAGCACAGTTCGTGTAGAGTGAAAGGAGTAGCCAGCCCTACAGTGGTGTGAGTGTGTGTAGAGGGGGCACATGTGTGGGCTGCGTGAGTCTTGTGCAAGGGCAGTGGGGTCAGTGTGAGCTAAGGAAGGGAAGGTAGTTTGAAGGGAAGGAGAGTGACGTGTTGTGGCCACCTCACTTCGCTTTCTCTCGCCTCCTTAGTCTACAAGGGGCATCACACTGAGGGAGAGGGAGAGGTTTGGCTTCTAGAAGGCCTGCAGGAGAAGGATTGGAGAGACACTGAGTACACCAGCAAGGAAGAGACCCATGGAAGAGGTCCTTGGGGTGGCCTGGAGCCAGTGCGCAGGAAGGGGCCGGAGGGGTCAGGCCTGGATGCGGGTGGGGGTGGGGGAATGCAGCAGGAAGAATGGGGATACCAATAAATGCTGCATTTGTGCATGTCGGGGGAGGAGGGAGATGAGAGTGTCACGCCAGATGGCCCGTTTTCTCAGTGAGGCAGGAGCATATGCTCAGAGGTGGGCATGGGAGCAGGGTGCTAGGGTCAAGGAGAGTCTGGGGCGATGAACCAGGAGGAGGGGTGAGCAGCTCCTACAGTGCTGCTTCTCTTCCATGTATGGAGTGTGTGGGTGTGAGAATGTGTGCGGGGCATGTGATGTGAGTGTGGAGTACATGTGCGGTGTGAGTGTGTGATGTGTGTGTATGCTACGTAGTGTGTGTATGTGTGTGGTGTGTGTATGTTGCGTGGCGTGCGTGAGTATGATGTGGTGTATGTCAGCCATTCTGCCCAGTGCAGCCCATTGTTACTGGCCAGAAAAGGCCAGCCAGAAGCTTCTCTATCCCCAAGAGAGGGAGGTGGCTGTGCAGGGTCAAAGACTTAGGCTAGCACCAGAATGCTAGCAAAGCCAGGAGTGTTTACCTGGTGGCAGCAAGGGAAGGGGCTGCTCAAGGTCACCCTGGGAATCTTGGGTGGGGCCACTCTGAACCCAGGCCTCCCAGTCTCCAAACCCAGCGTTCTCTGTGTTTACTCTACTACTGTTACTAGTTCCTATTTCCTGGACTCCTACCATGTGCCAGGCTCTGTGCTTTCTATATCTCCTCTCGTCAGTGCTCATAGCAGCCCATCACCCCATTTTACCATTGAGGGGCCTCAGCTGCCTGCCTTTGGGCCAACGCCTCTCAGTGCTGCTGCCCCAGGGA